AAAAGCCCGGGGTCAGTGTTGACCTGCAGAGGGAGGCCATGCCGCTGGGGAGCAGATCTGGAGCCAGTGAGCAGCATTCCTGGTGGTCAGGGCCAGGAGTCTGGGGACAGCAGAGGTGGACACGCCCCGTGAAGGCAGGCACTGGAGGGGAGGGAGGGAAGTGGACGGCAGGAGCCACTCTGACTCAGGACTCATATAGGACCCTATGTGGGCAGCGTAGAACTCATTTTCGTGGGTTTGCAGGAGCTGGTTTTACAGAAGCAGATTAGCAGGACTTTCTTCCAAGATACTTCTAACTGAATACAAACCCATCACCTTTTAGCTGGCAGCTGAGCCACCTGCACCACGTGGCGACATCCTGGTCACCACAGGGGTCAAGAGCAAAGTGTGTGAGCAGGGGGTGGGCAGGCTGTGGGGGTGGAGGGTCCTTTCAGGCCTAAAGAAGAAGGAGTGATGATGAGGGAATAAAGTGTCACCCTCCTCATCAGTTCCCCTCTCAGAGAGCAAAACCCAGATTGAAATATGGAGAAGAGGGGGAACTGCCAAGGCAGGAGGGGGCAGGCTTGGCCGAGGGCCCAGGAATCTCTCCTCCATCACTCACGGGCAGCAAGTGGCCTGAGGACTTCAGAGTGAGAAAGACCAGAGGCTTGGACATGATTAAGGTGACATTGCTGGCTTTCATGGCACGAGCATCAACCTGCAGGGGGTCTGGCCTTGGTCTGCTCAACGTTCTGTCCTAAATAAAACTTCTGTTTCCCAGGGTCCCATCCATACTGGCCGCCAGGCCCCCAATGATGGTGCCTCGGACTCTGACGGTGCCACGTCTTTGTCACACAACAGCCTGGCCCGTGAAGTCGGCACTAACACCTGTGAGCCTGTGTCCCCTACAACCAACTGCAGGGAGCAAAGCGGCCGCAGAAAAGGGCAGGGGGCAGAGAAACCAGAGGATGGACGGGCGCCCAGGGGTGAGAGCGACTCACACGGAGAGGGTGCAACTCCATGGAGCGGCCTGAGTGCGAGCAGCTGACAGAGACTCTGCTGTCACCTAAAACACAACCCACCAACCCAAACCCAAACCCAGCAATCATACCGAGGCCTGAGGGCCAACCCCATTTCACAGAGGGGAAGGGAGAGTCAGGGAGGTGGGCCTGACCAGGCTGCTGGGAGGATGGATGGCTGTGTGATGGGGCCACGCTGTCCCCAGTGGATCGAGGGGCCTGAAGCTGACAGAGGGCACAACCCAAACTCCCGCTGTCAAGTCGGTTCTGACTCAGCAGCCCTGTGGCTCAGAGAACTGCCCCCAGGGTCTGCTCTCTACCGCACAGACACCTCCTTCTTCCTCCAGCCGGTGGGTTTGAACTGCCGACACTGTGGTGGGTGGCTGAGCGGCTTAACCACAGCACCACCACAGCTCTGCTTAGTGTGTCAGATGTCACCAAACCAGGAGGATCTGTTTTGGGCCTGGAGAGATGTCACTAGGCTGGGTGCAGCCTCAGAGGCGAGGACTCTGCATGTGACACAAGGCAGCCAGTCGGGCAGGGGTGGGAGGGAGGCCAGTGGCCGCAGGAGGCTCACTTTCAGGAGGGCCTGGGTCAAGGACCTTTCAGAAAGAGCCACCCTCTTCTGTGTCCACCTGCTGTGGAGCTGACTCTTCCACGGCCCCTCATGTGTGCAATGGAACCAAGTCCCACGGGCCACTCTGGCTGATTGCAGGAGCCTGCCAGGCCTTTCTTCCTAGGGGCCTCTGTGGGACTGGAACCCCCAACCTCTGGTGAGAAGTCAAGTCTCTAAACATCTGTGCCACGTGGGGCTCGCTCTTCTGAACCCAGTGATCTCACAGTCAGCATGCCCCGGGGCCACTGTCACCTGCCCCTGGGCACGCAGCAGCATGGACACTTTCTGGGAGGATGAAATGACCTCTGTGGTCTGCAGCTGGAGAGGCAGGTCACTCACTGGCCCTTAGGAGCCACCTCTAAACTGGATCAAGGACAGAAAGGATGGGGATGGACGGGGGGCTGGGACTGCCACCTTGTGTCCATGGCTGAGGTCTGGGCCTCGCATAGTTTTGTGGGAGTGTCGTGGCCATGGGAGAACTCCGTGGGAGGAGTGCTGCCCACTGCCCAGCACATGCCACCGCTTGGCCATCCGGGGCCGCTTGGACATGGGCTGGGACGCATCTGGGTCTCCTGTGTCGCTGTTCCAACGAGCAGCAGACTGCCAGCCCTCCCCACCCAGCCTTGGCCTAAGGATCATTTTACAAGGACAATAAAAAAAGGTGCTGCCGGTGAGAAGGGGCTCCCTGTGTGACACCGGGGCATGGTCATTCCGATCGTGAAGGATCGTCCTGGGAACACAAGGCCCCCTCCCACTGTCACTGAAGCTGGATCAAGACAGTCAATCCATGCTGCTCCAATGGGGGAGGGAAGGCGCACTGACACCCCACGTTTATAGGAGGGAAGGGGGAAGTCAACCTAGCATTGACGTCGTTGAAGGTTAAGTGAAAAAGAGAAGTCATTTGGAAAATATTATATTATAAACACATATAATAATATGTACACACTCATATACATCTCCAAGAAGCCAGACAAGAATTCCTTTTAGTTCCTTCCACAGAAGGCTTTGCATGATAAAGCATTCCTACAGCAGTGGGCGTTAGCTACAATGAAATAATTTAAGAATTTCCTTTTACTCTATCTGCGTTCACTAAATACAGTCTACGCTACAGGCAGAGTGGAGGTGAATGGCGGAGTTGCCTTAGAACAGTAATGCACGCGTTAAAAATAGCCTACGACTTTTTTTTCTTTTCCCTGTTCACATTTAAAGTAGCTACGCAGTGAAGAAACAGAATTAAATAATAACAATAATAAAAAGACTGAATGGCAGGATGGTGGCATTTTCGTCACATCCTCAGGCCTGCGGCCACTGCACTTATTATTCCCGAATTCGGGTGAGTTTCATTGAATTTGATAAAAATCGAAACCCAACTCCCAGCCGTGGAGTCAATTCCGACTCTCAGGCGGGCTCAGGAGCACTGCCTGCGGGGTCCCCGGCCGGCCTCACTTCTTGCGCTGCCCGCGGGGTCCCCGGCCAGGCCTGGTGGAGGCAGCCGGCCTCCCTGCCTTGTGAGAAGCTGGGTGGGCTCGAACCCCCAGCTTCAGTTAGCAGCGAGTGTAACCACCATGGCCCCGGCTCCTCACAGAGTTTAACAGATCAGAGACCCCATGGAACACGTAGCCACTTAGAAATTATGTGTAAAGCTTTATTTTCCCCGCCCCCACTTACTTTATTATTATTATTTTTTTTTCTTTTTTAAAAAGTGAAAGAAGAAGAAAAACTCTTAGAAAATAGAAGGTTTCATATAGAAGAGCAGGGCTTTTCTGGCGGTCGGGGGCTGGATGGCCCATGTGCCACGCAGCCGTCTTCCAGCCACAGTGCCTGTCAAGGATGCCCTGTGTCACCATCCCCTCAGGGGCCATGGTTTGGCTCTGTCTCTGTCTGACTGCCTCACCCAAGAAGCTCAGCGCCACAAGGACAGATCCAGTGGCACCATGTCCCAGCCGTCAGGGTGCCCGGGAGCCAGTCAGTGACCCAGGTCAGGTGGTCAACGCCCTTTGCCACACACCCTGCTCTCAGCCTTGGGAACCACCCCTTCCTTCCGGCTAGCCACGGTGGCTGACACAAGCCACAGCCCTCCCTCTGTAACGTGCCTCAGGGTCTCCTTTCCTCTCTCGATTTTAACAAGCGAACTGTGCCCCACCTTATTCTGAGATGCTCCCTCTCAAAGCTGTAGATCACGTTAATGGGCGCACCGCTGGGCAGGTTCTTCAAGTACAACGATCTGTAACCCACTTCTCTCAACTAGTTGCATGTTATTAGCTCACATCCAGTTCCATTTATAAATTAGCAGAGGTGCCATTTGTCTGCACAAAAATCGATGCATATTTATGAATGTCTTTTATTCGAACAGATTTTCACACATGTCATCGAAAGACTGAGTACAGAAACCTGGGTAACTCGGGGCCGTGCTGCCGACCCAGCCCCAAGGTGCTCCCCTCGGTGTGAAGTCATAAAACAGCTTTTTCCAGGGGAGAAGCAGCCTTTTACCCATTGACTTAGCTCGCTAAATGTCCCCGAGATGTCCCCATCGGCCACTTCCGTTCCTTCCTTTCCAAGGAGGCCTTATTTATTTTTCCTTCCCTCCCCTCCCTGTTTTTACACCAAGGAGACTGCACTCAAACAATTCCAGGAACTGATTTCCTCTCTTTGGACTGAAAAATTAAACAGATACTAAATTATGACAGTGAATTTAGAAAGGAGGGCTCCGAGGGCTTGAGAGAACATGTCGGGATGATATGATGCTTGTAAGAACATTGCAATCACATCCCGGTAATCACTGGAGCGTACCGCGTAACTACCTCCTCGGCTAATATGCTTTCTTCTGGGTGATGACTAATCATGTTCTATTAAACAGCGCTAAAGCTGGAAGAACTCAACTCCACGAGTGTAATGAAGCCAGTATTCTCCCCGGACAGATTAGCTACAACTGATTTGACACCCAGCATCATAGGGGCTTCAGACCTGACAAACTCTGGGCTCGCCGCTGATTTATGTCGTCAAGCTCTTCGGAGAGGAGATGAGATCCGAGTGTTCCGTTCGGTAGAGGTGAAGTGTACTGATGTGCTTAACTGCCAGTTAGGGAAAGTTACCCCTTCTCTGGGCTCCTTGTCTCCCGCCCCCTCCCCGTCCCTGTGCGTGGGGGGCGGAGGCACTGCCCGCAGGACGAGGACAAGGTGCCGGACACAGTCCTGTGCTATCATCAGAGGATCGAGGCCCGCCGGCGTCTCCCGCGTGTGCTCAGGGGCTGTGGCTGGACCAGGAACCATCATGCAGCCTCCTGCCTCCTCTTCGCCCCTCGTGAGGGGCTCCTGGAGTTCTGGGACGTGGCGGGGCGGATGGGCAGGGGAGGTGACCACCAGGAGGACTCACGTGCTGTCCCCGCCCCTCAGATGATGGTGGGCATCCTCCCGCTGCTGTTGTTGCGGTTGTTGTTCTTCCGGGACAGGTTGGGGGTGGCCATGAGCACGAAGCGCTCGTCAGGACAACCGTACTGGAGCAGGGCCTCGATGCACTCCTGGCTGGAGGCCTGCCGGGCATAGGCCAGCGCCGTGTTCCCGTGGGCGTCCCGGGCCATGACGTCCACGCCGTACTGCAGACAACAGGGGCCGGTTAGCGTCCTCCCAGGGGGAGGCGGGTGACAGCAGGTGTCAGTGGGGCTGGGCCATGGTACCCAGGGGTCTGGTCACACTGCAGTGAGGGTGGGGACATATTAGTGACCGGCAGTCTCAGCTGGCCATAGGAAAGCAGGTCCACGCCACAACGTGGGCCTGATCCAATCAGTGGGTCTAGGGAGCAAAAAGGGAGACTTCCCAGGAGCAAGGTTCTGCCTCAAAGAGGCCCCAGGGCCCTGATGTCCTGATGGGTTTCCAGCCAGCCACCTGCTGGATGGGCTCAGTTACTGGACTGCTGGTTCTAGTTGACCTTCTGACACGTGAGTTCTGGGCTGCCGGCCTCCATAACTGGGGAGCCAATCCCCCCAAAATACAATCTATCAACCAATCTCTCATGCTGTCTATCTCCCTCTACACCAATCTATATCTCTATCCACATGTACTATCTCTGCCTCTATATCAGTATCTAATCTACCTCTATCTCTGTAACTCTACAACTAATCTCTATCTCTATCTAATCTCTATCTACCTCCCCCCACTTATGGGTTCTGTTTCTCTGGCAAATCCCATCCTTTCGTAGAAGATAGTCTCCTATTTAAAAAAATGCTGCCAAAACAGATCAACAAACCAAGGCAACTTGGTTCTCTGCTGGGTGAGGTGTGAGGCCAGATGAGGTCTCAGGAGAGTCCAGGTGCATAGCCCCAGGTGAGAGTCTCGTGAGAGCAAGGGGAAGGTGCAGCGTAGACCCAGGTAGGAGGTGAAGGGAGCACCCAGCTAAGGTCCAGTGGCGGGGGTCCAGGAGGAGGCCGGGGAGGGGACTCACCCAGATGAGAAGCTGTAGCAGGACCACGTTGCCCTTCCGGCAGGCCAGGTGCAGGGCGGTGCGGCCGTCGCCCTCGCCGCACGTCTCGTTCACCTCGTCCCGGGAGCCGTGTGCCAGCAGCAGAATGACCGTGCGCAGGTCCTCGTCGGCGGTGGCCCGCAGCAGAAGCTGGCCCAGGGACAGCTCAGAGCAGGGCAGAGGGGCCAGGAAGAGTTTCTGCTCGTACTTGGCACGGATCCACCGTTCCTTCTCCTCCCTGTGGGGACATCAGATGGCCATGTTCACGCTGGGCAGAGGGCAGTGGCGTGGGGACACCAGGACACCACCTGGGGAGGCTTGCTGGTGGTGATGCTGGTGCCACCTGGAAACTGTAGGCCGTGCTGGGCCTCTGGAGGAGTCACAGACCGTGAAGGTGCTTCTGAGGCAGCTGAAGCCATCCGCCTGCAGGCCCACATTTAAGAGCATCACTTGCCCTCAGTCAGCTTTCAGTACAGAAGCTGTGTCCTGGGAGAACTGCCCACCCACTAGAGGTCAGCCTGTTGGGACACTTCAGGCCACAGGGAGGCCAGTTTGCAAGGAGGTGGGAGTGGAATGTGAGCAGAGGCAGGTAGAAGGAGGTGGGCTGTGATGTCCTAGTTCACTCTGTGTGTGCGTGCACATGTGCACGCAGTGAGTGTGCACAGCATGCACACGTGAGTGTGTGCACGTGTGTGCATGTGCACGGTGTGCCTACACTGTGACTGCACATGTGCACTAACATAGCGAGCACGCACTGCATGTGTGCACACGAGTGTGCACAGGAATAGTGACTGTGTGTACTGTGTACATGCACGTGTGTGTACACATGTGTGCACGTGTGTGAATGTGGTGTCTGCACTGTGTTTGCACGTGTGCACAGGAATCAAGACCGTGAGCTGAGTGTGTGCACACGCACAAACAGCATGTGTGCATGTGAGTGTGCACAGGAATCAAGACTGCGCGTGGAGTGAGTGCATGCGCGTGTGTGTGTGCATGTGTGTGCCCGCACTGCATGAGTGCACGCGGGTGTGCACAGGAATCATGACTGCACGCTAAGTGTGTGCATGTCCATGTGCTGTGAGAGTGTTGAGCGTGAACTTGCATGGTGCATGTGCACTGTGTGTGCATTGTATGTGCACCCCATGAGTGATGCTGCCCTGTGTGAGTGTGACACACGCACGTGTGGGCACGTGGACATCACGGGTGAGTGTACACACGTGTGAGCACGCTTATGCATTTGCATTGTGTGTGAGTGCAGGGGCATTGGGGGGGTGTGCACTAGTGTGTACACGCTCACCCCTCCAGGGTCTCTAACCTCCAGCTGACATGTACTCTTCACTAGATAAGAAAGCAGACTCCCTGGGGAGGCTCAGAGAGCTACAATCTGAACTGAGCGCTATGCGTTATCTTTCTGGACACTCGAGAAAGGCTGGTAACACGCCTCCTTCAATGACCACAACTGTTGGGTCTTCTGCGGACAGGTTTCCAGGATCAAGCCCAGGAAGCAAGATGGTGTCCCAGCCAGAGTTGAGAGGGGGCTGGACAGCACAGCCTGGCTGATAAGACAGTGCCTGGTGTGTGTGTGTGTGTGTGTGTGTGTGTGTGTGTGTGTGTGTGTGTGAGTGATACATACATGCACACCCCAACCCCTCCCCCTCCAGGATAACAGTGGGGTGGGGATACTGCTGAGGAGGAGGGCTGAATGGGAGACTGGAGAGAAAAGGGACAAGAGAGGGAAGAGAGAGGTGGGCAAGTAAGAAAGACAGGTGGGAGGGGAAGAGAGAGGGAAAGGGAGAGGGGGAGGAGGGGGGAGAGGAGAGGAGAGGACGGGGTAGTTGTGTTGAGAAGTACCCTTGAGGTGAGCACAGCTCACGGCAGCCCTGTGAACAGCAGATCTGAACCCGGTCCTGTCTGGCGCCATCCTCACTCTCTGGTACACTGTACCCCATTGTTACAGTCACAATGTCAATCTATCTGGTTGAGGGTCTTTTTTTCCCCCCAACCCCATTTACCCTTCTACACCAGCCAGGAGAGAGGAAAACAAAGGAAGGAAGAGGGGGAAGGGAGGAATAGCAGTACTTGGACTGGGCAGAGGAGGGTAGGCGCTCCCAGGGGTGTGGGCGTGGGCTCCTCAGCTCCCCTGACAGACTGGTTTCTCTGAGAGGGTTGGATGCAAGGATACCAACAACTCAGCAGCCCCGCTGTCCACAGAGAAAACAAAAAACAACAGAAGAGACAGTGACCTATGACAGGCACCTCCGGAGACTGGGGCCCCAGTGTGTCCCCCAAAGCCCCCAGCTGTCCACAGGGGAGACCAAAAACGACAGAAGAGACAGTGAGCTATGACAGGCACCTCCAGCCTTGGGAGGGATGCTGTGTGTGCAGACAGAGTCACCAGCATCCCGCAGAGCCACCCATTCCCAGCAGTCCACCTCATTCCAGAACTTTCTCCAGGGGATAATGGGTGCCAAGAGCTACAAGACTCCCTTTGGGCCTGGTGAGGTTCTAAAAGGGACATTCTTCTTCCAGCGGCAGCAAAGGGCTGCCCACCCCTTTCGGATGTTGACACTGCCCCTGGTAATCTAATCTAGGGTCAGGTTAGCCCTAATCTGGTTTTAAATACTTAGGCAAACAAACTCTTCCAGGGGTAAACCTGGATTAGTTGTGCATCACTTCCTGGTCCATGTGAGCGACCCCAGGGTGACCTCTGGCTCTTTTCATTCAAGATGTCCAGGGCAAACATTTGGCTACAGCTGGTTATTGGTTATCGGGTCCCCAGGGTCCCCAAACTGCAGGCTCAGGGGGCCATGAAGGACAGTGCAAAAATACTTACAAAAGTTTCTTTTGTTATAAAAAACTGTTACCACAAATGACCAGGATTAACTTGTACAGGCCCCCAAATTACAAAACTGTGATGCTGTAAATTGTCATTTATAAAGGGAGACTAACACTTGAATGAAATGAAAAAGGAGAATGAAGAAATCTCCTGGAGTCTTGCAATTTCATTGTGATGGGAGTGCAGGTTTGTAACGCATGCGCATGCACTTCACTTCGGCTTTCTGTTAGGCATTTACCAGATTTGTTTGGGAAGTTAACTGCACTCCCCTCAAGGTCAGCACTCGCCCTGCTCCCTCTGTGGGCTCCCACCTCCCTGTGCTCATCTTCCAGCCCCCAGCGGCCTTCTGAGCTCTGGCCCTGCTCAAATCCATCCATGGGGAAGACTGAAAACCACCGAGCTGACTCCCACTACAGCCAGCCTTCTGTTCTGGTGAGTTTTCATGGTCACTGCCAAATAATCTGAAGATAAACCAGAGATTTCACGAGGTGGCCTAGTGGTAAGAAGTTGTGCTGCAGTATCAAAGGCAAGTGATTCAAACCCACTAGGTGCTCCTTGGGACAGAGATGGCCAGTCTCCTCCAGTGCAACTTACTGCCTTTGAAAACTCACTAGGGGGTCAGCTATGGTTAGTTCTGACTGGACGGTCCACAACAACAACACCCATTGTCCTTGCTGCAATTATAAAATGGTCCTTTGCACATTAAAACCCCCAGCAAAGAATGACCATGAGCTTAGAATTCCCTCCTGCAGTCAGGGAACTGTTGGGGAGACTCTGTCCTCCCAGTGTAGTCACCTCAGCAGAATGGCCTGTATCCTGCACGTGTCTGAGTACAGCCTACGTCAGAGACACTGGGGGGGGTCAGTTCCAGGGTCCCCTAGTAAAGCGAGGATAGTGACAAAGCAGCCACACAGTCTTTTCAGTGCGTATGGAAATGACGTTGAATCCATCCATGTACAACATGGCGAAGTGTCAAGTATGGCGTGAGGGCCCGCAGTGACAGAGACCGAGGGAGCCCAGGCTGCAGGGAGACACGTATGACAGACCACGATGCACGGCAGTCAAACCCTTCGTGCGTGAACTGTGTCTGCGAGAAACTGAGCCACGACCGCAGAGTGAGCGTGACGGGTGCTTTGTTTTGGAAAAAACATCAGTGTTGTTGACACCATAGAGGCAGGTCCAGGTTCTGCCGGGCTGCGAACAGCTATCACTCAGGAGCATTCTTTGAGGGATGGCTTACATGGAATGTAGGAACACTCGGTGAGCTGATGGGTGACCAGCCTCGGGTACTGAGAGGGGTCTGAGGGCGACTGTCGTCAGTGTTGTTATCAGGTGCCACAGAATCAACTACGGCTCTTAACACTCTACGACAGAGCTGAACCCTGCCTGTCCGGTGCCGTCCGCACAGCCTCCCCCCCGCTCAAGCCCACTGCTGTAGCCCCGGTGTCAGCCCATCTCATCGAGGGTCTTCATCTCGTTCACTGGCCCTCTAAGTTTCCCCAGCATGACGTCTTCTTCCGAGGACTGGTCCCTCCTGATAATACATGCAGAGCACACGAGGCAGAGCCGGACCCCCCCTGCCTCCCCTGTGCACCCTGGCGGCTCTTTCTCCAGGACGGACGACTGCTTCTCCTGGCAGCTCGTGCAATACTCAGTCCTCTCCAGCACCACGGCTCAAAGGCACCGATTCCTCAGTCATCCTTATTCACTGTCCAACTCTCACATGAGGCTCGTACGTCTGTGGCTTGGGTCAGGCGCACCTTAGTCTTTGAAGTGGACATCCTCCAAGGAACTCTGGTGGTGCAGTGGTATTGGGAAGCCAGTTGCATGAACCACCAGCTGCTCTGAGGAACAACAACAACAACGTGGCATCTACTTCTCAAGATGAACCCATTCTCCCGCCGTAACTAGCTCAGTGCTGACACACAGTGCTTCTACAGGTCAGGAGGGGGACAGTGTGTCCCCAGGGCTGGTTTTTATGGAAGCAGACGAGGCTGGTGGTTTCACACCAGCCACCTTTTGGTCAGCAGTTCATTGCTTAATCCACTATGCCACAAGGGCTCCTTCAGTAAAGGCTGACTCACTATTGATCCATGGGGAGCCCCCCACTGGGTTTCTGTGAACTGGCCTTTCCGGTCTGCAGCTGACACTGACCATTGCACCACCAGCATTCCTGGAGGATGTCGTTCACTGAAAGACTAAGGTGCGCCTGGTCTTGGTGGGAGGACAAAGTCCATCTTTCTCGTAAGGAGCAGCTGGTGGATTTGAAACACCGACCTTCTGGTCACAGCGCAGCATGTGATACCCAGAGCTCCTTAGCGTGTGCAGCACTTCTCTGGTCTGTACAGTCCTTACAAGTTGAAAGCGGCTCAGCGGCAAGAGGTGTGGGTTTGGGATTTTAA